AAATTACTCAGTTCGGAGAACGAATCAAAACGTTACGATAAAGGGTTGTAAAGAAAACAATGGAGGCGCCAGCAGTAGCGTGTTTTCGCTTAGACGCCCTGCTGTATGCAGCAGATAAGACGACCCTTGATAATCTGCGCGACGGTCGATACAGCATGTAGTTAGAGTTTGAGGAAATTATGGTTGTATATGGACTGAGATACTGCCAGGGCGGACCCCCAGACCTAAACAGGAGGACGATTAGGGTCCTCAATCAAAGCCTTCGGCTCAAAATCCTGCCGCAAAGTAGAGGATGGGGCAACGATTCAGTTTTACGGAAATGGACCCCAACCTGTGGAACGAGGAGACTGCGTCCGTCCGATCTCCAATCATGGACCAACCTGGTAGGAGTAGCTCTTAAGTAGTCCAAGGGCTCCACTCAGTATAGCTTAACGGGTCGATGAGGTACGTAAACCGTCACATCACGGTAAAGTCCAGTCACATCGTGACGATACTGTGTCAATGGCTTCACTGAAATCAGTGTAGATCACACTGACTGTTTTCCTCCAGTTGAGTGCTTGTAACCATTGTGGCCTCATCAACAGCAGATTGGAGTTGCTTGAGCGGCCATTCATTGAACTGTCTTGTGCCAGCGTCAGGTCTTTCGACTCCAGCTGATGCATCCGACTGTCCACCAGCTTTTCGAGCACCACAATGGAAGTCTGACTGGTAATCTTCGACCATGTCTAAGTCTACCTCTTTCAGAATTGGCTTTACTACTGAGTATTTCTAGTCGTTTGGTACTACACATGTGGCGAGCGATCTGACGAACAGGTCAGTTTCACAAGGCGAGATGATAGCCGATAATGACTTGAGAATCAGTGGGTAGCGCCGGTCAGGACCGGCTGGCTTTGTGCTACTTTCATCTTGCACATCGCTCTCGAGTTCGTTAGGGATTGCGCACGTCGAACTCGGTACAGACGCATGGTAATTCGCTAATACAAATCCGAGGTGCACTATCTATGCGAACGTGTATTATGTACTGGAGCTTAAGGGTTGTCCATCTTGTTGCAGAACTCAATACTTCATGGACAGGCGTCTATTCAACAAAGTCAAGTCGGCGAAATTTACACCATGTTTGGCAAGCCAAACTCCTCGATATAAGTTGCACATTCAAGTCCATAACTAATGACCTTTCTGAGTCGATGAGGTTCCCTCCTTGTGTTAGAGGAGCAATATTAACACAGGTATGCTTGTGTAGCCGTTCATGATTGGAGACTTTCGTTTTGCTTTGGTGGTTCACTGACGTTTGCTTTAGCGCATTATTTCGCTATCCCTAATGGCTATTTGGAGTCGTTGTTCTTGCCTTCAGATCGCAACCATAATCTGACGCTCACTCTCATTTCACGTTATTTGTGTGCACTTCATGGGTTCCTCATTTGTTTAGTTCTTATTGGCTTTAATTATCCGCAGCTTTCCGTATTCTGGTTGGCTCTCACTTTTATGAGTTACGCTATAAAACGAAGTAGTTTCCCTATGCAAAAGAACTCTGGGATCATTGTCTCTGATCGTTCATGTTCTCACTGCCGTTAGTGGGTGGAAATAGTCCTGGGGTTCCGACACAATACTTTGCTTTAGTTAAACAATCGGTGAATCACTCACACGAATATCGGTCAATCCGAGTCCAGTAGTCGAATCCGTTACACCCGCCTCCCATTGGCTGTCTGGCTCACTCGGTTTGTCCATCCGCTCACTTCGACCTGACACTCCCATCACATCCTTTTTTCGTATTCCTGCGCCTCCATACTGCTATCCACCCCGCACATCTTGCACCTCCGCGTCGTCTTCGCTCTATCTGCGGCCGTGGTCTCCTTGTTCCACGCCATTTGGCGCTCCACTTCCAATCCACGTTGTTGTCTCCGGTGTCGTCTCAAATGCACTCGATTACTTTTGAACGCTTTTCTTCCAACATTTATTTCGTATAACCTGACACCGACCAAAACTTTCTTCCACCGCTCTTGACTATCGGATAATGGTTGAACCCCCACTTCTCCACTGTTAGCTCAGGTAGTACCCGTGCACCGCGATCGTAGTACCGTTTCTTGGTGGTCATTCGTCTTCTCAGATTCTTCCGTACTCGCTCGTGCTGTGGGGAGACTGGGCGCAAAAGTGTGGCAAATGTCGGCATCAGAGTCCTAGTCGGCTGTATTGGCGCTGCACTAGACTCAGACCAATATTTGTTCTAGATGTTGCGATTTTCCAGTAGCATGAGATAAGGATCTTCGCCAGTAGATCTAGTCTTCAATATCAGTCGCTTGACCTGCTTCACTGCTGACTCCGCCTTTCCATTCGATGGACTGTAATATGGGCTGGTTCGCTGGTGCACCAACTTGCACTTGGTTGTGGAGGCGGGGAACTCAGTGCTGGTAAATTTGGGGCCCATTGTCGGAGACCAGCTCCTCCGGTATACCCTGCCGCGCGAACTGACATCTAAGCTTGTTGATTACTGCTTCTGTGATCTTTGTCGCGAGTAAATCGATTTCAAACTAATCACTATAGTAGTCAGAAGTCAGGGTAAGCGAACACATGTTTTCGATAATTAATCTTCAGGCTTATACAATTATATGCAAATCAAAATGTGCAGGCAGACATTACAAGTCGTTACTACTGAAGCGAGTTAATTGGATGCTGACAGCGCTGTCTGTTAAGCCACGACAATCCACCGCGTGTGACCTCGTGTGTCAGAGGTCACCGGTCGTTTGGACCAGGGCAGTCCCAAGCCTTTAGTTAGCTTCTTCTGAGCACATAGCTCCGGATCGCATAGCCGGATCGCAGTTGCTTCAGCGGCTTCTAGTATTCGCTTGCGGACGTAGTTTGAGCGGTGCTTTGGGACCTGATAGATAAGTTTGATCGAATCAGTGAACTTTGTGGCATGCCCTGTATCGGCTAGGTGCGCGGCTATTGAAGAGTTCGCTATATTTCCACTTCCAGTTCTAAGCCCGACCGGGTGGTGTTCCTTCATTCTCTCAGATAGACGCCGTGTCGTACGACCAATCTATTCCGCTCCACAGAAGCATGAAAACGAGTAGATACACATTGAGTTGGTGTGGACAGGCCTCTTGTCCCTTGAGTTTAGTCTCATCATCGGAATGCTAGTAAACTGGATTTGCATCTGCGCTACTGGATAGGTGCGTCTGTATGCAAAGGAAAGACGACGGGATAGAAGTTCCGTCGCAACCTCGCCCTTGTATGGCAGCTGTAGGAAGATTGGCTTATGTTCTACTGTCAAAACTACAGGCTTTTCTTATGTTCCATGTTGGCTCTGATGAAGCTTTCCGGATAGCTATTCTCCCTTAGCACTAAGCGAATGCACTTTAATTCTTCCGCAAATGTGTCATTCGAGCAGATGTGTTCAGCTCGGCTCACTAGGGTATTTATCAAGTTCCGTTTAAACCGGAGTGGCACAAAGTTGTAGAAGTTTGTGTACTTTCCATTCCACGTACTTTTCTTATAGACGCAGCGCTGTAGCGCACCCCTATCCAGTCTTTTCGTGGCGACATCAAGGAAATGAAAGCGACTGTTTCATCAACTTCGCAGGTGTACTTTATTGCTGGATGACCTTAGTTGAATGTGGTTTGTTAGTTCCTCGAGAGTTCCTCCAGTTCCTCGAGACGACTGAAGCAAGACAAAAATGTCGTCCACGTAACGGCAATATAAACCGAGACTATAGTAATCCACCGTGAGTAAGTAATCTTACCAGTTTTCGCTGAATAAATCCACCGCCACCTTCTGCCACGGTCGGTCAGAGACATCACGCAGCATCATTGGTTCCCTTGTCTGCCGGATTTCGTGTGAATAGCACGTCTCACAGTTCGCTACCTGATCTCTTATTTGACCTGTCGTTCCTGGCCACAAGTCAATTCTCTTGCTCGATTAATTGTATAGTTGTCACCCAGGTGAGTACGATGAACGTATTTCAGCATTTCTCCTCGGAGCGGTGACGGGACCAGAATACGGCTTCCCTTGAATAGCAGACCATCGTAGACAGAGAGTTTATCCCGAAAATTGTAGTGGGGTTAGTTCGTTTGATAGCTGCCTCTTTGTCTCTTGCCACCCATTTAGAATAACGTCTCGCAGAGCTGAAAACGTTGCACCTTCCTCTATGCGGCGCCTTATTTCTTTTAGGCGATTTTCTGTCATTGCAAGACGCTGCAATAGGTTTACTGCTTCGATGTCTTCCTGATTATGCTCAGCTGCTGGCAGATGCGCTTTTGACGGCGTATCCGCGATGAATGTCTTTGCATCAATCACACGAATATCGGTCATTCCGAGTCTAGTAATCGAATCCATTACATCCGGCTCCCACTGGTTGTCTGGCTCGTTCGGTTGGTCCATCCGCTCACTCTCATCACACATCTGAGCCGGAACTTTCGTACCGATGTTTTACTGTTATGCAGACCAGGGTACTGCCCTATTAGACCAAACTGAACATTAACCTACCTTGCTTTGATTACTCATCGTTTGGCGAATCGTTTTGTCTTACCAATTTTTTTCTCACTAAAACGTGCAGCTACTTCTGCTTACGCACTACCAGTATTTGGTGCGACTACTTTGACTCATCGACCGCTGTTCAGCTTTCGTCTAAATAGCCCGTGTCCTAGTATTCATTTCGGAGTGTGATTACTTGGGCGGCGATATCTCGGATTACTATTTACGATGGCACTGCGTTCTACGCTTGCCTGATCTCTGGATAGTGCCTTTCTCTTACATCTCACGTTTAGATTACGCCACTTTATTTGTGCGAGAATGTATGTTTTTCTACCGTAAAGACTTGTGCAATCAGCTATACGCGTTAATATTAGTACGAATACTATCTTGCTTATATGCCACACATTGTTGGCAAGCCTCACGTGTTCACGACCTCTATTCGAAGTGATCTGTGAGTGACTTGGACGTGCATCAGAATTATTATTATCCAAACACATACAGCATTCTCCCTATCCTTGTGCTTTGTTTTACAGCTCAGCATCACTTTAATGGACAAACTGAGGTTAAACATACAGGCGGTGGATGAGGTAAGCGCGCGCTGCATATACGTCACCCGCTCATGATTGATGTTCTGCCCAGATTTATCCAGATATGAAGGAATTTTATGATGTGATGTGTCGCCTGAGCATCCTACCGCCGGATTTCGAAGGCAAAGACAAAATGAAAGCATGGTAAGTTTTCATATCTCTTAGTTTTACTAGCCAATGGGCACCTTATTGCATAATATTTGCGTTGTTGGCAACTAGGTTCGATTATGATGGTCAGCTGCGATCGGTTCTCTTGATGTCAACTCAGGCGAAACTGTGGTGGGCTAGGTTTTGATTGGCTCCCCGAGCTGAGTAATTTAATGGCAAATCTTTCACCACTTCCATCAGTGGCATGTTTAGTGCACCGTTGCGTAGAGGATAATCTCACGGAGTGTCGTCAGGACGTACTGTTTGAAATTGGCTACGTCGACCCGTCCCGTGAACTCTGTTCGTTCGATTTTCGACCGCCCATTTTCATGCATTCTCAGCTGTAGGTACACTGGATCGAGATCAGTGCGGAGGTTCGCTGAATTCTCCGTAGAGTGCCATGATTCGAGGAATTCTCTTCCTTTTCTTGTCCCTCCGTGCGCCAGCATTTCCGTGTTGTCCCATTTAGCGTTGTGTCCTTCCTCATCGAGGTGCGCTGTGATCTGTGGCGATGCATAATGCTGTCGACATACACGCTTGTGCTCTTGTATTCTTGTAGATAGTTTTCTCCCCGTTTGACCCACATAGTTTTTGTCACAGTTCTCGCACTGCATCCTGTAGACGACATTTCGGCGTTCGTGTGCTTCCCATTTTCCTTTAGGTCTAGGCAAGATTCCATTTAAAGTCGCAATTGGTATGTGAGCTACCCTCAGGTTGTGCGGCTTGAGGAGTCTGGTTGATGTATGGTATGGCGATACGTTTCCCCGTTGTTGGTGCAGGTGCAGTAGTTGTACTCCTTCGGTTTAGGTGTCTTCGGATGAAACTGTGTGGGTAGCCGTTGCGAATGAAAGACATAGACAAATGTTCCACCTCCTTTCCTTTCTCCTCCGCAGTATTGCATTGTGATTCTATCTTACGAAACAGGGTCCGTATATAGCTTATTTTGTGACACTTAGGGTGATTGCTGTTAAAGTTCAGGATTTGGTCGGTGTGTCTCGCTTTTCTGTAAACTGATGTTTGTAATTCGCCTTCCACTGTTCCGGTAACCAGCACGTCCAAAAAGGGTAGTTGGTTTTCCACCTCTTCTTCCATGGTGAAATTAATACCTTCCATTGCATTGTTGAGTAGGTCTTATGCGGTCTGTAGCTGGCTGCGTTTGAGAATCACAAACGTATCGTCAACGTATCGCACCCATAATTTCGGACTAATGAATGGGGAGTAGATCCTCTTCCAACCTCTGCATGACGACTTTCGCAATAAGTCCAGCTCCTCTAACTTGCTCGTAGAACACCGTTGAATTTGAAGTAGGTGATGAGACACACAAGTCGAGGAGCTTAAATATGCTTTCAGTTGTCAGCTTCCCAGTCGTTTGTTCTCCACTGTTCAGACATTCTTTGATGTTTTTCTTCGCTATCTATAAGTTGATAGAGGTGAAAAGTGCGGTGACGTCAAAGGATACCATCACTTCTTCATGGTCTATCCGCATGCATTTGAGTCTTTCCAAAAACTGATGAGCATTATTGACGGAGTATTGCGATCCGCTGGTCAGGCGTTTGAGGCGTTTCCATAATTCTTTAGCCGTTGTAAAGTTAGTGTGCCTGGAAGTGATACTATTGATCGTAACAGCGCATTCTCTTTATGTACTTTTGGAAGCCTGTAAAACTGCGATGTTTGGATCACGAGCCTTCATTCTACCATGTAAGCGGGTTGCCTCAAGACCCAGTGCTACGTATAGATCAGTGGTTCTCGACCTGGGGGTAATTAACCCTACGGGGGGTAAAATAGAATTTTACGGTGGGTAAATATATATATACGACGATTGGGCCATCGATCTGTCGCCAAAGAACATTAATAACCAAATCCTTTGTATAAAAACAACTAACTACCTAGTCAATCTTGATTAGCCATCAGTGACCAATCATTAGTGCGCGGTTAGTGAATTAGATAATTTTCGGCAATAGACTTTATTATCTAATGAACGAATACAAGCCTGCTAAGCAGCGCACCTAGATAGCGCCTCTATCGGCCTTCTCGTCGATGGTTGGTCGTTTGGGTCGGGTGGTCGTTCGGCTGGTCGAATTACAGAGTATGATGATCATTAAAATAAGAGCATAGACCGGCCGACCAGTTGAAGGAGCGAGCGAATATTTACTATGTAGAAGGGAGAAAACAGATTAGTGTTCAGGACGTATCGATACAGAGTGATACTTGGAAGTTTTCATCCAGAATGCGCTTGCAAGTTATTGTTGAAACCAATGAGGAGCCACTAACGTCTATTCATGTTTGATCAGGTATTACACAACAAAGCAAAGAACCAAATGAACTTGGAACACGACTTACGATGTGCATTAGCTGAAACCGCACCATATACACCAGAAGTTGTTAGAATTAAGCAATATTAGCCATTTCATTGACGTACAACATCTCTCGTTTTATTAAAAATTTGCTCGGAAATAGCTCTTTTCTTTATTTGAATGATAAAACGGGATTAAAAACTGTATCCATTTTCCACAATTTTAGGCACAAAAAGCAATGGCTAATAAGCGATTAGTTTTTAAGCTAAATTGGGGGAGGGGCGTAATGGTTTATAGTGAACTCGTTTTGTGGGTAACAACCCCACAGAGATTGAGAACTACTCGTCTAGACCCATTGTATCCCCCATTTGACCATCTCGTTCGTCTTTATCCAATTGATTGTTCCACTGTTCGACTGTGTCGTCCACTCTTGCATCGACTTCGTTTTACTGTAGTTGGGTGGACCAATTTTATGCTGTTGTTTCGCCAGTTCGATCACTAGATATTCCTTGATTGGTATCGATGAAGCATGCTATTCGCTTGACAGGACTTACTACATTTGGGCTTTCATCCGCATGGGTACGATTGTTGCATATCTTTTGTGCCGGATGATTACGTATTCGACCTAGCCCTGCAGTGCGGAATAGTGGTTATGTCCTATGCCATCAGACCTCATCTCACATGGTGCAGTAACTCCTTTCCGGTTTCTGGAATGGGATGCTTTTTGTTGGCTTTTGTCCCACTTTTATCTGGAGAACCTGAACTGTTGTACAATTTTGTCATACTGTATATTCTCACTCACCCAAGGTTTCTACAGATAGAAGTAGCTTAACTTGCATAGTAATGTACCTGACTAGCTTGTTGCTTTTTAAATATTCCTTGTCTTATTGTAAGAGCCCGACGTGCATGCGGAATATTTATGATGTCAAACAGTTAATACTAGATGCATCCGTTCCGACAAACAAGACATTCACTCATCTTCGCAATCCCTGTTGGAAGCTGCATGGCGTGGATTTTCTTCTGTGTCAAAGGGGTTGTGTGATGTGTATTGGTTGTACCTTCATTCCTCGCACGCATACAACTGCGGTTCTAAAGGGTTTTCTGTTCCTTTTGGGGAGTCATTACGGCCTGCTGTTGGCTGGTTGCCGTTTCGCCTCCTGGCCTTTCCACCTTACTGATAACTAGTGTTGTAGCTTCTGCACCACACTATGTCCGACGGCATCCATTTTCAAAATTACCTGTCGCTGCAAGTGTGAGCCTCAGTTCATTTGGAGTCGTTCCACATGCATGCATGCCATCGATGGAAGCGAATTTCATGAAGCATCTGCTAATGACAGGGATTCTTGGCCGTGTGCAATGCTGTTTACAGCCAAATTGTTCTTTTCCTTCCCAGCTGAATCATTGAATGAGCCCCATCACAGTCCAGTCTGAAATTAGTGCCTTGGTACATTGGGCCCACTTTGCTTTCGCTTCCCGCTAGCGTTATTGCAGGCAAGGAGACAGAGCGAGGTAACCCATATACAACCATCGCACTCGGCTTTGTGTAGTGAGCGTATGCGGTTTCGCATCTAACATAACACCTCATCGGAATGCCCGTCAACAAACATCGCCATTACGAATATGAGGTTACCATCATGTTTTCTCAACGATTCCAACGCTGCGGTACTCCGCAACTGTCTGTGAACCTCATCAGCGTACTCGTCGGCCCCGTTTCGCAATCACAGAGCAGAAGTGGATCTCATTAAGGTCATTCTTTTCTGGCAAACGTCGATGACTTCCATCTAAACAAGCCCAATGTGGCAATGTTATTACGGAAAGAAGCGTTGTTACGACTCCTTTGGAGAATTCTGAATACGATTTTACGACACTTCAATAACACCTTATCATTTATTGTCATTGCGCGTGTCCGACCCAGGGGTTGTGTTCGCACAACAGTAACCATGCCGCCGATGTTACTGCTCCTTGCTGGGCGACTGGGTCGATAAGAATGCCTCGGGAACTGGGTGATATAAGCGGTTTGCCAGACTTCGCACTTGCTTGTGCATCAGCACCAGTGACGCACACTGAAATGGCGGTGGGTACGTTTATAAAAATTTTCACCTCTGCATCACTTCAGTGCAGAATGCTTTGTTTGGAGGACTCACAAGCGTGCAGTAGCGAGTACCAAGCATTGGTCCGCGTTTGTATAGTCTTCTGGACCGGTGGGGTTCTTCCACTTGTCCGCGTTCACCTTAATGAGGTATGTGTACTTTGGTAGCATCGACACACTTATGCCGTCTTCTTATTTCGACACTTGTGGTGACAGCATCCAATGTCCTCTCCCTCTGCGTTATCGCACAATTGTGTCGGAAGGTCACTGGCTAGTGTATTTCACTGTCCGCTTGATTGATCTTTTTCTAAACATCCTGTTAACCTGAATGTCATATCGACGCAATCGATCTATCAACTCGGTAACCCGTCTTGCACTCAATTATACTGTGCCAGGAAGGTCAGAAGTTTTCATTAGCCTACTTTCCCTGACCTGCTACGTGCATCATCTTCATCAATATATTCTAGGTGATGGTGAAAAACACCTCACCTAATGTGCCGCAATACAAAGAAGATAAGGTACTAAAATTGCACTAAAAATAAATTACAGCAACAAGTAATAGTATTAAACATCATATTATTCATTTGCTATGAGATCGTAAAAGCAGAGGGCAT